CAAGAACCGACAGTCCCCAACCCAAGGCCCAGAAACCAGAACAAACGCCAGCTGTGGGTGCAGTGTTTACGCGAGCTGAGCCTCAGAAGCAAGTTATTCCTGATGTTGTACCGATGCGAAGAGGACGGCCGACAGCTTCCCCGGCTCCAGCCAAGGTAGCACAGAAGCCAGATGCTTCTCCGATGAGGAAGACTGAGGGAGATCCATTCGCGGCCCTTGATGCCAAGGCTGCTTCGAAAGGATTTGACGAACTGTCTTCAAGATTCCCTACGCTCGATCAATTCTCACTATTGCACGACCAAGGCTCCAAATTCGATTTTGATGTTTCCTCACCTGTCTCACCCACAGTCAATACCTCCTCTGACTTGAATGAGAGAGTGACGGCTAAACTGGCGGATGAGGCATTCGCAGCGCCACAGACTGAGGCCCCTCGACCGAAGCCAGTGTCTAGAACACACTCGGTAACTCCTGTGGGACACCATGCCGCAGTCGCTTCACCTCCTTTGGAGCCCCCGCTGGCTAAGACCTTGTCCGCACCAAGTAGACCTGATATTAGCCGGGCGCAGTCCATTATTAGCAACAACCCTGAGTTGCAAGCGATTTCTTCTCAATCCAACTCACGATATGTCTCTACTGGCACGATGACCTCAACACCTCCACCTGAGAAGTTGAACCGGGATGTGGAACGGCCTGTTCAGCGCGAAATCGCTGAATATTCTCGCTCCAGCAGCGCCACAAAGCAGGTTGACCCAAGTGCAGCGCAATGGAACGCAGAGGAACCCCGCGCTGCGGTCTCGCAAAGAATTTCAGCCTTTCAGCAGTCTAGTCATGAACGACAGCCGTCTTCATCGAGGCCTTCACTGGAAGGCGGCCGCCCTCGTGCTGATTTCTTAGAACCTTCTGCTCGCGCCTCGCCAGCCCCTTCGCGGCCACGACCCGCCAGCACAAACCTTGAGGGTACAACTCTCGATTTCTTGCGCGAAAGGGAGGCTGCATCACGCTCATCAAGCCGACCGCCCCAGTCTCGCTCTCCCTATCAAGAGCCAGCGGACGAACCGCGCACGTCGAGCGATATGGAGTTCTTGAGAAGTCTGGAGGATTCGGAGCGGACTAAGTCTAGCAAGCGTTCCAGCTTGACTTCGCTATCTGGCAACAAGAACATCTTGGCTGGAAAATTCGGTGATGCATTTAAGCGCTTTGAAGGCAGCTCTCCCAACAATGGAAGAAACCCTTCGCCAGAAAGGGAGATGGCACGCCGAGATCTTACCCCCATTGCGGGCTCCGAGGCAACTGATGGGCGCAGTGATGACGGTCATGTCCATGATGATGAGGATCGCATGACACCTGAAATGAGGCGGGAAATGGAACGACTGAAGCTCCAGGAAGAGGAACAGCGGGTAGAAGCAGCACAAGCCGAATATCGAAAGAGGGTTGCTGCAGGACAACGAGGACCACCAGTTCCACCTAAGAGTATTGGAGGAGTTTCCCGTGCTGTCAGCATTCAGAACAGGGTTCAAAGTCTCTTGAATGAAGATCAAAGGCCCTCCAATATTCAAAGAACTGCCCAAGGATATGGAAAGTATACTGATGTTCCAGAGACTGGTAACAAGCCCGAGAAACCCCTTCCTGGAGTTCCCAAGAAGCCCCTTACGGTGGCGAAAACACGGGTCGATCCTCCTCAAGCACGAGGACCTTCTTCGACATCTTCTGCGCCCCCAGCTCTTACATCTAAACCCCCTGCGAAACCCCCTGCTCCAAAGAAGCCAGTGCATCTCAATAGTCTCCCTACTGGCCAACGGCCATCGTCACCTCAAAAGCCCACGCGGGCCCAAACATCGACGGAAGAGCTAATTGAATTTCCCGGACAACAAATGGTGGATATGACAGCTCAAGAGAAGGATGATTATCTTCAGGACTTTTCCAAAAGGTTCCCCAGTCTAGGTTCGATCGAAATGGTTGAGCGAGAAATTGGGGGCCAGAACGGAGGATCAAGCCGATAAATAGACATTGGTGGAGGGATTTAGAATTGCCATACTGCACATACACTTGAATATACTCAGCGCATAGCGTCCAGAATGTTTCTGGTAAATCAAAGGTCCTGTTTCTGGATGGTGAAAGTCATGCATATGGTGGGGTTATGCACATATGCAGTGCAATTCCTTATCTTATCTCCCAATATTTTTTTTTCGGTCCTTGGTTTTGGTTTGTAGCTGGGATTGAAGCTTTCTGCAGCGACTACTCAACATCAGAATACATTCGACGAAATGGCCAAACGCAAGAGACAAGCTATCGCTCAAAGCGAGCCTGCTTCCGAGCCTTCGATCAAGAAGAAGGCAAAGGGTGCCCAAGTTCTTAAGGAAAAGCCTGTAAAGGCAAAGACTTCAGCGCCGAAGAAGTCTACTACCACCACGACCGCCTCGAATGCGCCCGAGACCATTCAGATCGTTGTCGGCTCCTACGACCGAATTCTTCACGGATTGACAGTGACTGTTGGAGGCAAGGAGAAGGCTGATTTCGCCGACACATTTCTTTTCAATGCCCATACCTCGGCGATTCGTTGCGTCGCTGCGTCGCCCATCTCAGCGCCCGTTCCTGGGCAGACACAAAAGGTCATGCTTGCCTCTGGTAGCACCGACGAGCGTGTGAACGTTTACAACTTGTCGGCGCATCCGCCCAGCCGAAAGAACCAGGAGATCCTGGCTAAGGTTGCTCCCCGACCAATTCTCGAGAACCCCAAGAACCGAGAGGTTGGCACGCTGCTTCATCACTCGTCGACTGTGACATCGCTATGTTTCCCTACACGATCAAAGCTACTATCATCGAGCGAAGACTCTACAATTGCGGTCACACGAACACGAGATTGGTCTTTACTCAGCAACATCAAGGCGCCGATTCCTAAGCCTCAAGGCAGACCCAGCGGTGACACAGCGCCTTTCGGTGGCACTCCTTCTGGTGTGAACGACTTTGCCATCCACCCCAGTATGAAACTTATGATCAGTGTTAGCAAGGGCGAGCGATCAATGCGATTGTGGAACTTGGTCACTGGCAAGAAGGCTGGAGTGTTAAACTTTAGCAAAGACATGCTGCAGGAGGCTGGCGAGGGAAAACATTCGACTGGAGAGGGACGAAGAGTTGTTTGGGGAAGCGTTGATGGAGCAGATGAGTTCGCCGTAGGATTTGATCGGGATATTGTGGCATTTGGCATGGACAGTGTGCCCAAATGCAGGATTATGGGATCAATTCGTACAAAGGTGCACCAGTTCTTCTATGTTGCACTGGACAAGGAAGGGGATGCGACGCTATTGGCGGTTGCTACAGAGGATGGCCGCATCCTGTTCTTCTCAACCAAGGAATCGGACCTTACACAACCGGAGTCGGAAGACAAGAAGCTCCCGACAGCCAAGTTGATGGGTCAAATCGGCGGAAAAGCCGGCGGGGTTGAGGGCCGAATCAAGGACTTTGTGGTGGTGCCGAGTGCGGAGGACGCCTCGACGCTGTACGTGGCTGGCGGGAGCAGCGACGGACGGATCCGCGTTTGGCGGGTGGGAGTACTGGAGCTGCAGGGTAACGGCAAAACAAAGGAGGCCAAGGGAGAGTTGTTGGGGATGTATGAGACGCAAAACAGAATCACATGCATGACGGCGTTTATGATGATACCCCGGCCAGAGGGAGTTGAGGATAGTGAGGATGAGCTGGATGATGATGAGGAAGAGGAGAGTGAGAGCGATGAAGAGTAAACGAGGAGTTAAAATTCATGTTATTGGTTGGATATTTGTGTTTGTTGTGATACTGTAGCTAGCAATCTATAAACTAATGTTAGATATGTGAGGAATTGGTGGTGGTGATGCGAGAGTCAGTTGTTTTATGTGCCCAGAATCACATGCAAATCGAACCAAGCATGCCATTGAACTCGCCACAGTCATTGAGTTTACACCAGCGTCAGACCGGTCAAGAAATACTACGTGCTATGTATGTACAGTTGCAGTGCAGTATCAACAATTACAAGCACATAAACGAATCGCACCGCGGATTTCCCTTTAGGTTTCTTGGGTCACAGCTCAGGGCCCCAGGGGATTGCTGATCTTGTATGTGCTTGAATCACGAGGGGGTCATAAATGCAAGTCAAAGCAGAATTACCTTAGTCTGACCAACCACGGAGTCTCGAATTCAAGCTTGAGGCGTTTTGAATGTGGGGTAATAGACGGGATTGGATGGAGGATGATGATCAAGAATGTCAACAACAGGCACTAGAGGTTGAAGAAGAGATATCCAATGCCAATATGGACATTGAGTATTAGAATTGAATATTATCAAGTTACAGATAATAAAGTTCATCATTAATGACTCTGCAACATCAGTATCAGTGACATCTTTACAGAACCAGGCGGGGACTCACCCACCTAAAGAGACAGGGGTTCAGGGCCCTCAAGAGCTGCTGATGCAGGTAAATGGGGCACATCTACGTAATTCCTGGGGGCCCTTAGTCGTGAAACTGCCCGTCCCTTGGTCTTGTGAGCATGTGAAGAATGAACAACCTCGTTCAGCTCGTTCGTTTCCCTTTTCAGTTGAGGCTAACTACGTGCCGTCTCTTTTTCCTTTTCCTCTCTCTCACTCTCTCACTGTTCTTGTTACTACTCTCTTACTCAGGTACCCTCTATATTTTGGGTTTCAAGGCTTGGTATTAAACTGTCCTCTTTTCTGTTTCCTTTTACCCATCTTCTCATTCCAGTCTTACTCTTTGCCACTCAATCCCAACCTCGTTATACTCGCTTCAACAGCAAGATATTTGAAGCTCTTCAATTCCCCATAGCATTTGCCGTTTATTCCCAATTGCTTGACTTGCTTCGGACATCCCGGTTCAACTAGCTTTAGGCCCTGTGCTCGTTAGCTCGCGCTGTGAAAGTGGTAGACAGGGTTGCAGAGACTGGACCCCAACAGCTTCAAATTATTTTATCCGGGACAGACAAAGCCTCGGAAGCTACACGAATATTTGCTTAGGATACTAAGCTGAGACTGGTCGAGACTGTGAGTATAGTAACACTGCATTGCCCAGATATTGAGACTTGCAGGTTTCAGCTCACCTCAGCTGAACCCGAGCCTTGTTCATAAACCATTGCTGTCCCTCACCATTGTCTTTATACCAGTCCCTAACAACCAAAACAGTCAGTTATACATACCCTTAGCTTCAAAATGGCCGACGATGGTCCTCCTCTTATTCGTCCCGTCCCTCGAAGACCCTTCGATCTCAGTTTGACGACTCCTACACCACCAAGCGAGAACTCGTCTCCTCCAACTCCCGCGCCAGCTCCAGACCCCAACATTGCGCGCTTCCTACAACCAACTCCCGAGCCTGCGAGTGCAGGTCTGAGCAGGCCACAGTCGTTCATGAATTTGACCTCCTCGACGCTCTTCGGAATATACTCTCCCACGACATCCTCTTCGCGTGACCGTGTCTTTGCCGATCGCGATGAACTCGATACACCTTGGGGAACAGGCGCTCAGACACCCATCAAGAGACCTAGCATCGACGACGCTACGTTTGATTTTCTGAAGGATCGATCACACCATATTCGTCGCCGGTCCTCGATTCGAATTCATGAACCCGCTGGGCCTTTAAAGCATACCCCATCTGGTGGTGCTCTAGTATTAAGAGGACTGTTGCTTTTCGTCCTCGGCGTGGGATATGGCGTATTAGTCACATCGCGCTTCCACGAGTCGGACAGGCTTCCGTCTCGTGCTACGTATAACTGGGGTCATTTGACATTTTGGGGTCTTGCTGGCGTTGCACTGGGCGCGCTGTTTCCTTGGTTCGATCGAGTATGGGAGAATTCGTTCGGCGACAAGGAGGACGAAGCTGTGTTAGAAAACAGTGCTTCAACGAAAGATGACGACCCAAGCACTGACTGGGCGCTTGCTGTCCGGGCTATCGGCGCCTTTGTCGGAATTGTTTTCGCCATTGTAAGTCAGCCAACGACAAAGCTATTGTTCCGCATAACTAACATCCCGCAGCGCAAAGTGGCCTGGGCGTCCACCCTTCAGGTGTCACTGACCTTGGCACTTGTTAATCCCCTCCTATGGTGGCTTATCGATCGCTCCAAGCCTGGTTTTCTTCTCTCAGCTGCGGTTGGGCTAGCAGGGTCGGTTGTGCTTCTCGGCGTGAACCCAGATATGATGCCGGCACCTACTCAGGTTCCGTTCAGACATTTGGTTAATGCCACAATGGCAGCCGATGGAGATATGCCCATTCTCGGTGGACTCGCCCGGCAGAAGACGCTCGAGACGGGCATGTGGATGTTGAGTGTGCTTTTCTGCAGTTGTGTCTGCTTTGGAAATATCGGTCGTCGACTTACCCTCGGGCCATCGACAACAGCCAAGGGGCGCTGGGCCGGAGTGAGATGATGACAAGCGAGAAGCTGATCTGATGTGCAATCAGCTGTAGTGGTCTTTTCACATTCTGAGCATGATGCGTCTATGATATCCTTTTCGTTTGGGCGACAATCATGGGCAGGTATATATTGGGCGGGTTTATTGGACAATGGGAACGGGAGGTATGTGTATAGTTATCGAGATTGGATAAGGGCATTTTGCAGATCATAAGGGATGATATGATGGCTTAGTTTACCGATATGGTCTGTTTATGACGACAACTATTCTGCTCTTCTGTTCTCCTGAATAGAATAGCATGGGTAGATAGGCTAGGCTTAAATGGCTAAGGAATGATAATGCCATTTCATTCTACGTTTCAATTTCTAAAAGCAAATTCACGAATCTGTCACGATATGTTGTTTCTTTTTATCGTTCAGATATCTTAGCTGTAGACCCAATCTGCTGAACTAGCCATCTCGTACTATCGAGTTGAAGCTCCGTTGGTCCAGCAAAGAATTGGATACCACTTGCAAACTTTTGCCTGTTGTTTTTCTCTTTTTCCTTCTCGAGTCTTGATTTGTTTCCCAATATCAAATCCAAAAGAATGTTCGCCCTTTACTCCTTCATGGATAAACCCTGTAACGGCCGACGATCATCGCGTGACGCAAGCTCTACAACGTCATTTGTGTATCAGGTCCAGAGCAATTCTAGTTTGCGCTCTTGATCGCCTCCTTAACGGCTGCTGATTTTTCTTGAATAGCGGAGCCGAAGTCGACGTTGGAGAGGCCGAGCATGACGAGCATACGAGGGTTTTGAATCATCTCGTTGATTGTGATGGTACGTGTGCAAACGTCGGTGTAGGAAGCGAGGGCAGCTTCGGGGCCAGAAGCGACTGTTACAGAGAAGATAGTGTAAGCCCAGGTACACTCTTCCATAGAAGTTAGCAATAGGATAGCTTCTACTACTCACCACCATCGTTCTTGGGAATTTGTTCAGGATGCTGAACTTTTCGACCAGCAGCAATGTTGTCTAACTCGGTCATGATATAATGAGATCTCTTGACATAGTCCCAAACGTGAAAGAGACCACGATCAACATTGGGAGGAGTCCATTGAGAATGAGACTCTATGGCTGAAACGAGGTCTGCCAAGCGAGCTGTGATGTCTTCACGCTGCTCTGGGGTGGGGAGTTGAGAGGTGGAGACAGAAGTCATGATGGGTATGTTATGGATGAGTATTTGGTGTTGATGAAGAAAAAGTCGGGTTGAAGGTTAGAAAAAGAAGAGAAAGATTAAAGAAGAGAGTGAAAGGGAGAATAAACAGAAAAAGAGGAGAAGAAAGCAAAAATGTAGCATCAACGTCAGAAAAAGCAGCTTCCCCGCTGCTTCGAGTGTCGTCTGTCCAATTGCCTCTTTACGCAGAGCAAAGCAAAAACTCCATTTCTCTCTAACCGTCCCTAGTACGTCAGGGGGCCCTTGTGGCTTTCTTGTATCTCTCGTCAGAACGTTACCACCTGAAAGGGCTGAAGTTTAGGGCGTTTCAGCCATTGATCGATCCAAGCAACATCGATAATACTTTGAGTCAAAACCTTGAGCTTGGATGAGTGGGATAAGCCCTAGACTTCAACGGTTCTCTCAACATGTTTGGGGACGAGAAGCTATCACGAGCAGGGGAGCTATACGGAAGGGATGAGACGGTAAGCTTACGCACAGACTGTTTCTAACAAGGTAGCTAGCTACTGTGACGATAGGAAGAAGCTCAAGGGAAGGGAATGACATGTGATGGAACAAGTCACAGACCGGAAGAAGCCGTCGATGAATAACGGAATTGCGTAGACAGAAAATAATGTGACTTTAATAAAAGTGGTAATCGTATTTACTAAGAGAATAATGCTCATAGGTAGAGAGGTTCTCAAGGGAGGATCAGATCAGAGAGAGCTTAGCCAGTTCAGCTATTGTGGGGAGGTTGAATTCAGGGTCCTGGAGCTTGAGGTTGAGGTTCAAAATGGGGCTCTTGTTGGTTATTGAGTTGGTAGAGATTCAACATATGGAAGCAGAAAATGGTCGTGTGATGAATTACCTTTCTTGGCAGCCATTCTCACATATGATCAATGTTGATGACGAGTTCAACCCCTAGGAGAGAAGTTATATTGACTAAGCGGAAGAATGAATGGTACTCGTCATCCATAACTCGGCATCGCCAATAGTTCTCAATAGCGACAATAGAGTAAGTCCTGATTCGGGAACCAAGAAATCGGAGATGGTCTAGAACATTTGGAACATTGGCGAATGCGAACTGATCTAACTAATTTCGAAGGGCGTATTGCTCTTACAACGCTATAGTAAGCGTCATCCAAAGAAGGGTCCTGGGGTACAGCACCTAAACTCATGACGAAGATAAGGTCACTCCAAAGAACAGGCACAACAAGTCATGAGAGTCTAGAGCTTGGTCACGTTTGGCGGCTAATGAACCAGCAGAGATGTTGCCTCAATTCATCAAGATGGAATTCCGTTGCACACCCATATACCGAGTAGCATAAAGAAGTACGTTTTCAACTCGTGTACTGGATGTGCCATATGTACTGTGCAGCCCGGAAAGCTGGAAACGTTGTGTGACATGACAGCAGCGAGAACTACTGCTTGTCTCTCTGTATAAGGAAATCGTTGCAAAGGAGGCTGAAAGGTTGAGGAAATTGATTGGCCGCATCTCGATCCGGGCCGCCACACCCTCGAGACTATTGGATGACAAGGGCAACGATGATGCGTAGATTGGGTTCTGTCCAACACTTTGAACTGTTGATGCTGAGAGTAGAGAATGAGATCTCAGATTGAACAACTCTCTCCCGTGTCAGAAGGCAAAAAGAATTGACGGGATCTACAGAATCTCCTAGTATTCATGAAAGATTAGTTATCCAAGGCAAAAAAAGATCGTTGGCATCATGACCATTGCCCATCATGGATCCCTTGCGGACCCCCCGTCTCATATGACGCCAACGACTTTCTTTTGAGCCTCTTTCAAGTCATGACCTGACCCTAGATCCTGCGGTCTTGGTTCAGTTCTTAGCTCTTACTGTGCATACACCAGCCCTGCCAGGTCAAGAGTCCCATCCAATAGCGAGACTCTCACTTAGACGCGTCTCGGAAACTGCCAGCCCGTTTTTATTGTTAATGGCGGGTTTCCGTCTCAACTATTAAGTAGTGTCGATGCGCCAGTTGATTCACCCGATGGTCGTTGCATCTCCGGCGTTGTCTCGATCGTCCTTGTCAGCCAGAATCTCGAAAGGAAATTGAGAAAAACGAGAAACGACACCCCCGACTCATAACAGATTTAGGTGCGCGCTGTATTCCGTGTTTCGCGGACGTTGAAGAAGAAAAAGAGGAGAGTGTACACAGACAAGAGCAAGATCGGCGACAGATGCGAAACGGGGAGAAAGGTCTTGATCGAGTACCGTCTACATCTCCACTGAGAACCCTGTGTCTTTTTTTCTTTCTGTGGTTTCCTGCTGTGATATTGGTCTCTATGGTTATTGGTCATGCTTGCGCTTCTGGAGGGCAGCTTTTCGGTTACGCTGTGAAGAAGGGGAAAGTTTCCTCTGTCTTGTCCAAGCCCCCAGCCCAAATCTTGAATCTTGGATCTGAACGTTTTTCTTGGCCCCATTGAGCTGGGATGTGTTTTATTTTAGGTTCATCCTCTCATGCATCCCGGTTGGCAGCACAGCACAGCAAAAACAGGGAATTTCGCAAGCTCCCGATTATCGAGATGAGGGGTTTTGATTCCCTCCCTCGGTTGCTGCAACGGGCAACCAAAGTCTATCTATCTCTTGCTGCGGCTTGGCCGTTAGATACGCAGCAACCATCACTAGGTGCTGAAAATGGATTACCATTCGATACCCGTGTAGTTTTGTTGCTGGCTACTGCTGTTGGGTTGATATTTTGTCTCGACGTCATGAGTCTATGACCCCGGCCTGCCATCGTCATCCGTTTTGCCTTGTAAGACAGAAGTCGATGCTGTCGTGTAACTCGAGAGCTCAAAGGTATGAGTTTTTGTTATCACTGGCCTTATTCGTAGGCATCCTTCAACATCAACCGTAATCCTCTGAACACAGTATTCATGACCCTTTGAACCCTGAGCTTAGACTGGACGCGTCTAAAACTCGTGATATACGCAGGGTCCTCTCAAGTTTTCGAGGGGACCCTCTTTTACTAGCAGTTACAGTACCTACTTGTTAGGAACTAATGCCAAAGTTGGAAAAATCTACAACATTTCCCAGTTGTCAATCCAAACTAACCCGTCCCGAAGTACTATATACAAGCCAGGGACTAGGACAACTCCACCAAGTTTCCTAATATATTTTGTATAGAGACAAGTACCATAGAGTAACAACAATCCACCCCCGATCTCTGTTCCTTCGTTCTGATTTGGTTTGGTCTGGTCTCGCCTCGCGTCGCCTCGTCTCTAGGTGCTTCTATTCTTCATCGTCTCTAGAAACTGTGACGCCTATGATTTTTCCTTCTTCCTTATCTTCTAACATGTCTCCCTGCTTTTTGCTTATTCATAACTGACACGAACACTTTAAGCTGAACTGCCAAGTTTGCCTTTCTCCCATTCGGGAGCTCGCGTGTCTCTCTCTCTCTCTACCTATCACATAGGTTAGTACCGTAATTATTTACACCCCTCTCCTAGACTCATCTCTCTCCGCGTGCCTCCAAAATTGTCCCCGGATTGGTAAGTCTCCCTGGTGTATGACGATCTCTATATTTGCTGCACCTCATCTTCAACAACCCTTTATCCTTGTCTACGTATTCTATTTCGGCACTACGGCCTGAAGTAGAAGACCCCGTCTTTTCCCTTTCCTTTTCCTTTCTTATTTAGCAAGCAACCCCCCTTCTTGATCCTACGATAATCCGTCTGTTCCCTTCATACATACGGTACAAATTTGAAGGCTGAGACTCCGGAGCCAGCCCCGTCTCCCCTTATATCCCTGTCAAAAATCCAGAACAAGTGGGCTCGACTTCGGCAGCCGTTTTAAACGATTCTCATCCTCTTGAACCTATGACATCTTCCCGCTGTTCAAGGAGTACCAGTACTACTTCATCTCATTAAACCCCCACCAATCTCTACACATCTTATACAAGACTTCTTACACCACACTTCGATCCACACAACGGAGATGCTTCGCTCAACATTCGCAATACGATCGTTGTAATCTTACTATTCTACAGAATCCATGTCTATCTTGTATACGACTTGTCCTCGTCACCTGGACACCTGGACACTGCTTCGTTCACATTCATGCACTCGACACGCTATCAACGGCTACGCCAAGAAGACCGCAATACTCGTCTTCATCAACAAACCCAGCAAACACGACGACATAGCAGATCATATAACGGACAAGGCATCGCATAGAACTCGGGGATAACAACTTCTCTTCTATTCACCTCAAAGCAACACTACTTCTGGTTCCTTTTACCAATAACGTATCATTACAGAGGCTCGCACCTTATTAGAGAGTTTCGACGCCCGCTACGACACAACGAAGAGTAACGACTCAAGAACCTACCTTTATACCCCCTTATTTCTTTTGCAATCTTTTTTACTGTACTATACGCACGCAATCTATAGACGTTCATGTCCTCAGACGGCACGTCGCAAGCTGCCGCGACCGATTCCGCCTCCGGTCCCGGTCCTCGACAGTCGCGGACTCCCGAACCGCCTACCGATTCCGATCACGAACCTCCGGACTCGGGCCGACAGCCGACACAAGTGACACAATCACAATCACAATCGCCTCCTGCCAATAGTTCACGCCATCGCGATGTCGCCCCTCGCGATTTCGTCCGTCTCTTCCAGTGTCAGATCTGCTCACTGCCCCTGGATGAGCCTATCAGCCTCCCATGTGGTAAAAGTCTGTGCCGGCGCTGTCTACCAGGCACACACATGCGCACCAATATAACATATCCCGCCGCTCCAGATCGACTTCGTGGTTTTAAATGTCCCTTTGAGGACTGCAACAAGGAACATGCTATTGGCGACTGCGCCATTGATGTGGTGCTGAATAAGACGGCCCAACATGTGAGGGAAGAGATCGAACGATTCAAGAATGAGTCTTCGGCCACCGAGATGGCGACGAGGGTTATGTGGCCTGATCCATGGGCTACTGCTGGTGTTTCTTCTATGAGGGACGATGATGAAGCATACACAAAGGTGATACCCGGCGGAAAGGTTATTGCCACTTATCGCCTGGCAGAAGAGGGTGACTTGTCTTACGAGGCCGATATATGCTACGACGAAACTATATCGGCGACGCCATCACCACCTCCCGATGCTGATGATACGGGGCTTGTTCGAAAAGCGCAAGACGCCACTCGCGCTGAAATGGACTGTCAGGTCTGCTACGCACTCTTCTACGACCCTCTTACAACCTCTTGCGGACATACTTTCTGTCGGTCATGTTTGCATCGCATTCTTGACCATTCACGATATTGCCCGATATGTCGTCGCCCACTGGCTATCAGCCCCCTACTGAGTCAAACTTCATCGCCCTCCAATCAGACTATCAAGCGCATAATTGAAACATTCTGGCTGGAGGAAGTTAACGCTCGAAAAGAAGCACTGGACGCCGAACGGGCAGCTCAGATGCAAGATTACGACCTCGCTCTCTTTGTATGCACACTGTCATTCCCTCAAATGCCGACATTCCTACACATCTTCGAGCCGAGATATAGACTCATGATTCGGAGAGCACTGGAAGGGGACCACACTTTCGGTATGGTCATACCAAAACGACCCCAACGTCCTGGGGATGCGAATTTTCTCGAGCTAGGCACGCTCCTCCGCATTGTCAATGTTCAGTTTTTCCCAGATGGCCGGAGTCTGATTGAGACTGTGGGGTTGTCACGCTTTCGCGTTCTCGAACACAGTTACCTTGACGGATACATCGTCGGCAAGACTGAAAGGATAGATGACGTTAGCCTCGAAGATGAAGAAGCTGCGGAGGCTGCTGAAGCATCACCAATAGAGACTGAGGATCAACAGCAACCCATGCAGACTATGGATACTGTCAAGGAACCCCCTGAGCCAACACCGACATCTCCATTACCACGGTCTGATTCATCCAGTCCACATACGCCAACCTCAGTTGCCGAGATTGACTCAATGTCTACACAGAGTCTTATGCACTATGCCTCATCTTTTGTCGCTCGGATGCGTCAACAGAGTGTCCCTTGGTTGACAGAACGCATGTTGACGATATATGGCGACTGTCCAGAAGACCCTGCCATCTTTCCTTGGTGGTTTGCCAGTATGTTGCCTGTCAAAGACATTGAGAAATATCGACTCCTTGGCACATCCAGCGTACGCGAGCGACTCAAGATATGCTGCACGTGGATTGTGGAATGGGAGACTTCCCGATGGTGAGTGAATTCTAAATACACTTGTTGCAACTTTTTATGCACCCCATACCCTATCAAGTTACTTGACTATACTGCCCCTCATTGAGCTCATGCTCGTCGTCGTGTCCGTCCCCCAGGCTAAAACGACGTCTCCCATTCCAGGACAAAGCTGATTCATGGCCGCTCAGGTCCATCCACGGCTGCACAATCCTCTGATTGACAATGCTTGCCCTACTATCTCTCGCTCGGCTTGGTTCTGCAATTCGTGCTCTTGCTTTTCTGCTTTGCTGTGCAGTTGTTGTACGAAGCACAAGACGGTTCGCGGAGTTGATGTTATTCCACTTCTGACACGAACAGGACGATTACGACTCGACGATAGCTAGGGCGGTTTGGTTTGCATCATGGCATTATAACGCATCAAATGTTACAAGACAAAAGTCACAGAAGGTGTTCATTTACATGGTTGAATATTGATTGGTTGATTGGGTTGGGAGGCATTTAGTCATAGCATCTTGTAGTACAGCGATTTTGCGGATACCATACCCCCTTGGCTAAACTAGACATCTTTCGCATAACCGCATGCATCAAGTTTCCAATTTCTATTGCCAGTTTGAGGCTTCACCATTCGTGTCCCGTGCTGCCGTAGGGTCTCCCCAACTTGGCATAGTAACGCCCGGGGCGTCAACCCATGTTCCAGGCATGATGTTGTCGCGACCTGTTTCTCCTTCTGTTGAAGGAGGTTTCTCGTTTCCGTTCCCATTCCCATTCACAGGAGCCCAGATGCCCACGTTGTTGTCAGCTCCTTGTCCAACACTGCTTATGGTATCTTTGGGTTGTTCGCTCCAGTCGCCGCTGGCACCCGGGAACGTGTCGTTGCCCCAATGATCTCCATTTCTTTTCACAGTCTCGTTGCTCTTGTTCGAATGGTTCGAACCAGCTCCCCAAGTGTTTTGGTTCTGATCTTGCTCGCCACTTGGTGGTGACGCTACCCAATCCTCCGGTTTACTATCCTGAGCGTTCTTGTTCCATTCGTCAACTGCCTGGTTGTTGCTCGCATTCCAATCATCACCGTTCTGGTTATTGTCCTGGGCCGGTGAGCCCCAAGCGTCTTGACAATTCTGGCCATTGTTGTCACCTGGTCCGTTGTTCCAGGCTGCTCCTTGATCGCTATTGTTGTTCCAGCTGTTCGGCCCGTTCGGCCCAGCCTTATCGGAACCTGGAGGCTGGCTGTTTTCCTTGGATACAGAACGGTGGCTTCCCCATGTACTGTGTGACTTTCTCTTATAATATGGATTGTCCTGGCCCTGGGTCGATGAGTTAAATCCAGTCCGGCCCGTGTGTTTCATTAATAATCACTTACAGTAAGACTTCCCGGAGGTCCAACATTGTTCTGGCTGGTCTTGTCTTTCTCCGTTTTGAAAGCCGGAGTGTTTTTGTTAGTTTCAGGGTTCCTGTGTCCATAGCAGCCATTGGGGGGAAGTCCTGGAGGAGGTCCCATGGCATACCATGGAGGAGGGGCCATTCCTTGAGTGATGGGAACATGCGAGTATGCTTCCGGTGGCGGTACCCCTGTGTAGCCCTGGTGGAACGGCGGCATCTGTGGATAGTTGGGATACTGCTGCAGATTGTTGAAGCCATAATAGAAGGGGTTCTGCATCGGATGAGGCTGGCCCATTGGCAGAGGGCGACTGAAGGCGTCACGGTCTGGGTACAACGCATTGTTTTGGTGGTTACCGTAGGCAGGACCGTGGTAGACTCTCATGACATTGTTTTCTGCATCGTAGTAAGCGTTAGGTGCTGGGTCTTGTGGAGTTTCGATCACGCGTTCCGTCTGAACGACCTGAGCTCTGATGGGCTCGATAAGCTGTGGTCGACGCATATGAGGAACTGGTAGTCCTTCGGGATAATTGCCCTTCTTGACTCCATCCTTTTGTTTAGGCTGTGCCTTTGCTTTTCCTTTCATAGTTCTGGACTTGCCTTGGTCTTTTTCTTTGGAAGCTTCAGGGGCCTCTTCAGCTGGTGTCTGTTCGGCGGCTTCTGGCTCTTTATGGGTTTCTTTCCCTGCTTTCTGTTTCTTCTGGTTTGCTTGTTTGCCATTCTGTTTCTTGTTATCTTTCTGCTTGCCTTTGTTCTGTTGCTTGGGCTCCTCTTCTGGCTCAGTTTCCTCTTCTTCTTCCTTGGGTGAGTCAGAGGTTTCACCTTCAATTTCTTGCTCTTGTTGCTGCTTAACCTTTTTGTTCATTGCTTTCCGCTGCTTCTTGCTCAGGGGAGGTTCAGGCGCGGCTTGTTGTTTCTTTCCACCTCTCTGCTTGCCTTGGTTTTTGGCTTGGCTCTGTTTCTTGGGTGCTGGGATCTCGGACTCTGAATCTGACCCGGAAGTATCTGTGTCAGACTCTGGTGGTTTTGCTTTCTTTCCACCTCTCTTCTTATTCTTACCAGACAGTCGTTTAGTATTGGGGGATTCTTCTTCTTCTGATTCAGAAGTTTCAGGGCTGGGAGGAGTGAATTCCTTGCTCTTCTTCTTGCCTATCCTTTTCAATATCTGTCGGCCCTTTTTGCATCTCGCGCAGTCACAAGTTGGTTCTGGATCAGAGTCCCAGTCACTCTCGGTGTCTTCTTCGGCCTGTGTCTGCCTGTGCTTCTGCTTTCTCTTCTTTTTATGCTTGACGCACTCAACTGAGCATTCAATATCAGAATCAGTGGCATCAGAGCTTGATATGTAGACCGACTGACTGGAGTCTGACTCAGTTTCTGGGCTGGAGTCGGATGCCTCATCTGAGGACTCCATGGGAGTTGTGATAGTGGTCTGCTTCATAGCAGATTTGATTGGGCCATCTTGGCCAAAGTGAAACCGGACCTTCTTAGCCTCGGCCTTGGCTTCTTTGGCAGGCGGAGGTGTAGAGGTGCGTCCAGTGCGTGGGTAGGTGATCTTGACGGTGTCCTCTTCGGACTCATCATCGGTGGTGACTTGAACGCGTACGACGTCTCGTTTCTTAGGGGGTTTGTTTTGGGGGATAGCGCCGATAACAGATTCGATTGTTGTTCCAACTACCCATTCGCAAAAATGCGAGGGGCGTTTGATTTTGCGATTTGACATCGCACCAAAGAAGTTTGCTGTACCAAAGAGATTGTCAAGATAGTTTGTCTTCAGAAAGGTCAAAAGGTCAAGAAAGGGATGTATGTGTGTTTGCTGTAAAGGTGCATGCAAGAACAGGCCACTCTGCTGGTATAGGCGACGGTCGGAGGTTTGCTGTTGTCAACTGCTCGCAGCTGTCAAGGCAAAACGAAGACAAAGTGATAAGAGCCCCAGTGCTTGGCAACCTACAGACCAGAAAAGAAGTGTAAAGCGGGCATGTAGGGATGATGTTTTGATTTGGTGGGAAGATGTAGATAGAAGAGGATGAACTGGGCTGGGATAAAAAGGGTTGGTTCATGGTTGAGAAACAAGGCAGGAGCGAGCTTGAGTAGGGGCTCCTTCCTCCTTGCGTATATATTTGTCTGCCTTATCCACCCTCCAACCACTAGAAACAATCAAACTCCCCCTATAATCCACTATCACAGCTTTGCATTCAACTTCATCTCCTCCCATCTCTCATTAATAATAAGATTCTGCCAGAACCTCCACGTCGCAACAGCAACTGCCAGAGGAGGGCATCCAAGCAATAGCCACGACCACCAATCAGGACTCGCCTTTCTCAAATCCTTGATAGCCTTATCTAGCTGCTCCTTCAACTCTTCTCGTGACCCGTCGTTCCAGAGCACAATCCCTTTGCCTTCTCCTCGCTCTTCACATCGCCGGGCCTTTTCTCGTACATCTGTTTGGCTGCGCACTCTGTTCTCGGCATCTTCTGGGCTGAGGTGAGGATCACGCGCACGCAGACGCTGCATCTGGACTGCTGGGTCGTGGACTGCGACTACAGCTGTGACGCCGCAGAATCGATCGAGGCCACTTTCGAAGAGGAGTGGAATATCGAGAACCACAGCCCAATGACCTCTAAAGTAGCATCCAACAACGGACTTGAACATCTCCCATCGGACAGCCGGATGGACGATGCGATTGAGAACTGCCCTATCCTTCTTTCGCTCCTCTGAGTCGCCAAACACTCGTCTTCCCAATGCCGGTCTGTTGAGTGGTCTGCCTTTGCCGTCTGGTCCATCCTCGGGCATCTTCTCTGATGGTTGCACAAGAAGCTCGGGTGTCGTAGGTCCAAAATGCTTCACAATAGCTTCATACCCACGAGTTCCCGGCTCCACAACCTTGCGCGCTAGAATGTCTGCATCTATAATCGGCAGATTGTAGGGTTGTGACGAGAGCATTGACGACACTGTCGTCTTGCCTGTGGCAATTGAACCCGTAAGACCGATGAGAAGCATGATGGTGTATCTTGAAGGTGCGCAGGTCTTATGGTGCTAGAAACTTCAGACTCTAGAAACTCGTCAGAAAGTCCCCTAAGCTCATCCTAAGATTACCAAAGTATCTTGATTGATTATGATCAAGGTACGTTTTCTTACCTCCTATTGGTGGGGTATAGACCCAACAAGGTGTGGCAATAAGCTTCTCCGATGTTCTTGAAAAGGCTTATCCTGTGAGACTTGACAGTCGCTTCTCAGATCTTGAATGAGATGAACGTATCGCTGAATGGATATAGGTTGTTATCAGGAATGATCTGATAACCTTGGACCGATGATGCAATTACCGAGGATGTACGAAACTGTCGGAACAGTGTAAGTTACCCCACATGCATCCATGACTTGCATTAGTAACTTGAACCACATTAAATCAACGACATGTGATGCTATCTTCTTTCTTTCACGCAGAACAATCACCACGAGACCATTTTATACAATTTCAATTAACCGTAGCAGTGCATCTCTTCAGGGAATGATACGAAGCAATTTCCTGTCTGCATTCGGTAGATAGTGTTTCCTTGCGCAATCTCAAAATGGTCCATGTCTTTATCCGTGAGACGTCTCGTTCATCGATACAATCCCAACCGCATCATTAAGCATGAGCTCATTTTAGGGCGAAAAGTTGGACAGAGGCCGAGAAGCGTTCCCTGTCTTTCAAAAGTCAGCTTGTGCCACCATATTGTCTTCAGACTACTTACTTGAAAGACATGGTGACAGTCCAACTTAAATTTTCGATCGGGGACGGGCCCAACTGCAAAGGTGTTAGTCAACGTTGACTCGCGATGGGGAGATACCTTACAACTTGCGTTAAACGAGTTCCCAATGAATCGTTCTTGTGTTTCGTGGTATGTCTATAGACTATCAGCTCATGATCGGGAGATGAGGTAAAGGCAGATTATCTTACTGGCCGCGTCGTTTAGTTGGGAAGTCGGACGGCGTAAAACCAACCCTCATCGGTCACATACCAGCGGGAATCACCCATGTGATCAATGGTAAATCGGTTGCGCTGGGTCCAGTTCCCGTCAACTTCACGAACATAGTAGAAACGGGAGGGGTCATCGTCAGCTGGCTTGAAGTCCTGAGGCTCGTACATCTTGTTCGCATGCGCAAACTGAATCTGACGGAGCTGCTCTTCGCCAGCGGTACGACCAACACCAGTGACATCAGGGATATGTTGACCACCAGGGACATTACCTGCAAAGACGGGGACCGTGCCGGGAACAGCAGCTCCACCAGCAATACCGACCGAGGGAACGCCTGCGACATGTTGGACCTGCGGCATGAACTGCTGAGGCTGGTGGCCAGCAACGAGGACTGGCTGCTGGCCCATGGTCGGCTGCTGGATGTAGTAGGGCTGCTGCTGGACAACGTAGCTGCCTTGAACGGTAGGCTGGGGAACCATGGCACCGACGGCGGGCTGCTATAGAACTTGTCAGCATTTGCTAAGAGTTATGATGAGATTTTGAGGGGTGAGTGAAAGAAAAGGGTAGACGGCCGCCGAGCCACTGATGTCGCAGAGGGGCACTGAACCACTTGATTCAGGCGAACCCCACGCCGAAGCCAAAACGTGAAGATAAATCAGCAAAGCAGACTTGCATAGTACGTATAGCCATTCAAATAGAATGTCTTTGGCATTACAACTGTAGTGCAGGCGGGAGTCGTCGTTGGCGCAGGAGACAAGAGGGGGGCAGAAGGGGCAACGTAAGAAAAAGAGGGTGCACAAACTTGAACACCGGCATAGCCACCGACTTGGACACCAGCCAGGCCATTGTCAAAGCGAGGCACATAAACGTGCTGCATAGGACCAAAGGTAGTGTCAGGAACAGGCGGCTGAAAGTTCATGCCATGAACAGGAGGCGCAGCGTTCTGATAGTCACCCATGTTTGCGGTGTTGACACCGGGAGACTGAGGTCCGATTCCGATGTAGGTGATTGGAGATGGGGTGAATTGATTTTGCCCTGCGTTGATGAAGGGAGCAGGATGAAATTGAGGGGGGAGAAATTGGTGCTGCTGAGGGGTAGGCGAGACGAAACCAGTTGGCACCTGTTGCGCGAGACTCTGAGTCGGGTCGGCACTGATATGCCACTGAGGCTGTGCGTTAGGGCCTAAGCCGAGCGCAGGGAAGTTCGTAGGTTGATTGCTGCCCTTCTCGTCCGGCGCAGAAGTGGTTGCTCGGGTAGCAGCAGTGCTGGGAGCTGTAACACCGTTGATACCAGCACTGAAGCCGCCGCTGGGAGAATTGGCTGTGGTGTAGCCCGTGATGCCCTCGTTGAAGGCGGCAGGTGTTGATGTAGATGCAGAAGCAGACGCAGAAGTAGCAGGCTTAGTCTGAGAGCCAAAGTGCACTTGACGAGTCTCGGGGGTCTTTGGTCGTCGAGGAATTTTGGGAGACTTGAAGGCGCTGGCACCTGCCGAGGCCATGATCGCTTCTTTTGTGTGTAACTCGGACAATTGAGATCGGAAAATAAATCCACTTGCGGGGCTCGTGAATCAGAAGCTTCAGGACCTCGTGATACCTTCTTCAAAGAAGGAAAAGAAGGAAACAAGAAGCTCTCAAATTGTAGGGACACTTCGAGAAGATATACCTATCGTGCGTACAGGGCACAAACAACGCTCGAGGCAACAATACAGCACAAACACGGCACCTAGCGTGTTGAAATTGTTTTGTTTTTGTTTTGATATCCTTCAATGGCACGTTTCGTGGTGACTTTGCCCTCCAGTCGGTTGTCACTGGCAGTCCAGACGCACGCTCACAGCCCTATGGTCCGCAAGATTGAAGGGGTTTCATAGGGTAAAGGGCCACGATAATGGAGTTGACGAAAAGAAGAGAAGATAAAGGAAAGAATTGCGCTCACCACTTTCTGAAGCTCCCAGTTCTGCCCATCATGGACCCAGACAGACTGCTCAGGGGCTTTGTGCAAATTGTCATAAGGATCTTCGTATTTTGTCCACGTCCATGGGAAACAGGGGAGACACATTTCACTGAGGCGGTTATAACAAATACAACAGTGCGTTTTTAACTGATTTGCAAGAGGAATGAGTTGTTTTGTGTCGGAGTTGAGTGGAAGGTGGATGAGCAAAGCTGGCTGTTGTGATGCCCACTGTGGTGACAGTGCTTCTGCCTTGAGCATTGAATATTAGGTACTCAAACTCATCAAAACTTGGGCTCCCTAATCCAGTAACATATAGTTCGTATTATCTTATAATATATTTATTTATTCTTGTGTGGACTTGCTAAACTAAACAAAGGGCTCGTTCATATTGGATGCTCGCATGCGTATAGAATCACACGTCCACTGCACAATTTCATCCTTCAACTGCATGTGTAAACAATTCATCGTCACGACAGCGACTCATCCATAAGCAAGCAAGTTCCACCCCTTCTCGTTCCATGAGCTGTTGTCAAAACGGCCAAAACTCGTTACTCTTGTTCCTTTATCTTCACATCACGCATTATTGTTCATACTCAAACAATCGACTCCAATAGTCGCAAGCTTCGCCTTATCTAGCGCTTGTTTAGTTTTCGCTGCTTGCTGTATTTCTTCCTAGGTTCGGCTGGCGAGGAGTTCATCCACAATATCAAGCTGTTGGGATGACAGTCCGGCTTCACCAAAGACAACTTCAGCTTGGTTCAGCAGCTCATCTACTATAGGCCACCACCGGCGAAGTCGAATCTTCCAGGGCTATTTCACACAACATTAGCAATGATTAATGAAGGGCGCTTATGATACTCACTCGAATAAAAACCGGGTGTTTCTTTGCTCGCACGCCTTCCAGTAGCTCTTGGTAGGTGGTTTCCTTCAGCTGTGTCCATGTATGAAGACGGTCTGGTAACTTGCCGGCGGGGATGAAGAAATTGGCGCTGGTCCTCAATTTGAATACCCATGAATATCTCTCGCTGTTAGGTTTGTCTGCCAGCACCAAGTCGTTCAGCTGGCGATATAGGCCTTGGGCTTTCTTTTTCTGTGCTTCATCTCCGCGATTGTAGATAGTCTCGAGTCTGTCTTTGAAGACGTTTATAGTATGTTGGCCCTGTTCACCATCGGGAGGAAACCTGTTTTTCATTCGCGAAAGCATTCCCTTCATGTTGACGTCGCTGGGTAGACTGACACGCTGGTAAGTAATCTTACCGTCGACCCCTAATTCGAGGACTTTGACTTGATAATAACCCGGTAGTTGTTCTTTGCCATCAGCCAAGCGAGCTTGAGCTATCATGGTGACCAAGTGAGTAAGTTGAAAGCGTGCTCGGACGTCATTCCATCTTACTGGCTCCCGGTTTGGATCGTGAGCATTGGGCTCCCACAGCGCCTGGCACGTTTCCTCAACCTCTTCTTCGATCAAGTGCAGCAGTTTCGTTTCAAAGTTCTTGTCTCTGGCGACCTTGATGCGGTATGCAGCATCCAGTTCAAGGCGTCGTTTCTGGAGGTCATCTGCTATCTCCTGCTTTTCTGCAGGCAGAGGTGTCATTATGTCGAAGGGGACAAACCACATTCGATCGAAGCCATCGAATATGTTCATCCCTCTATCGGCAACCTCGAAGCCAGCCCATTGTGGGCTCCAGAAAGCTGTCAGATCACGCTGACTCTTGGTATGGACGATCTGAGCCCTTGCTCTCCAGTGATCAAGGCGATATTGTATCATGATCTCTTTGAATTCTCTTGGGCCAGCGTCCACGATGCCTTGTTTGGGAGTTCGTGCTTTCCGGGGCTGCTTGGGTGCCTTGTTTGATGATGCCGCATTTGTGTTGTCCTGAGGATCATCAACACCAACGAAGGGGTCGTCGTTCGGGGCTGGAGATGGCCGAGCGTCGCGAGTATGCTCTTCAGCTACACCCCTTCCTTCAGCGTCTAGATAGATCTGGAATGCCCCTTGGCCGTTGCCAAGATCGTGTGACCCCATGTTGAGTGGCATGTGTCGTGGGAAAGGTCAAGCCATCTCAACTTACCTTTTGTGATGCGAATGAAGATGGAAAGTTGAGAACGCGGTAGAATCTTTTGCTGTGAATGTGTGTTTGTGGTAAACAACTGGTGAATGTGGTAGGTGCTGTTGTGCCTCTATCTTCTGTACCTAGATACCTAGGTAGGCAACCTTATCGCAGCCAGTGCTAACACTGCCAGGAGGCACTGATTTCATGGATCAAACAAAGCACAGGCTGCCATGAAAATTCATTGGCTACCCTAACTTACAGTACTATTTAAACATTTTAATCATTAATGACCAGACGCCCAGCCCCTATCACAATCGTCTAATGCTCGCTGACCGAACCTCATGTAATGTACACTTGCCCATGGGAGGAGAGATGTCCGTTACAATCCATATGCTACCAAACTCCTAGTCTCGCCCATATCATATACAACGGGGAATCCCTTCTCTTCCCGTGCTTCATCCTCCGGCTCGCCTCTTCGTTCATTTTTCTCGTCGGTGCCGCGTGCCCACCAAGGCACGATTATAACGAGTCGATCAATTGACGACAACGGTGAATAGGTGTATCATAATGGTATTACAGAGTAAGCTCGTCAGAAACTGCAGGAACGGGCTCAGGAATAGGGAAGAAAGACCGTCGCACGATCTGGAGAGAAGTTAGCAGCTGGACAGAGTATAAAACACAGAGTATCACTTACAGCCCAAGCACCAGCGACAGACGCCACAATACCACCAGAGATGGCCATGGGTCGAAGTCCGCGGGTGCTCTTAAAGAGCATACCACTCAGCGCACCAGCGAGGACAGTGTTTCCGGCATCATGCTTTCCACGGACAGATCCAATCAAAGAGTTGATGCAGTTGTAGATGATAGCGACGACACCCAGGGAGTTACCGAGGAATGGTCCTCGTCGAGTAACCGAGTTGAGAACAGCATTCAATCGCAGCTTGGGAGGCTGACCGGCCGACCTTCTGAGACCCTCCTGCAGACCCCAAGCACCTCCAACTCCCAGACCAGCGAGATATGTGATTCCGGTACCGTAACACAAGTCGTCTGTGAAGCCTCGCGAGGGCAGGACTGATTGGCCACCAGGCAACTCGGACAGGGCTGAATCCTCGAGGGAAATATATTCAAGTGTATCTCTGTTGAGGCCGGCGAGGGGATGTAATTGCGAGGGGTCGGCAAAGGCAGAGCTCTGAAGAAAAGACTCGACGCCTTGACCTTCCGTGGGGTCGTAGGCGAAATGCGCGGGTTCTTGTGTCGTGGGTTGTTGGTGCGACTGAGACTGCGACTGTTGCTGCTGGTGGGCGGGCTTATTACCGCTGGTGAAAGCGTTCCAGAGGGAAGACATTGTGGGCGATGACGATGGAGGAGACAAGGAGAGGGCGGGCGAGATGTAGATTTGGGTGGATTAATCGGCCGTGACAAAAGTCGCACGTCAATGAGAGTCTTGTCCGAATCTCGGGCAAATCTGAAGGCTTCCTCCGGTTTAGAATTTTTTGGGCTCCACTTCTGCCCGTTCGCCCATCAAGATTCCTCCAGGTTCCGTCACGTGCTATCACGGCCTTTGACCCGAAGTTTTTGACGGCGGGAGACATTAGAGCGAGATGGGAAATATTTGATGATGTTTATTGACGAGGTATTCTTTATGATTGTTTCTCGTAGAGATACGTTAAAGATCTGTGCACCTTCGTGACGCACTGCAACATGATTTGAAACAATACAACGACTTGCTATGCTCACAAATCTGATAATGATGCAAATTTGATACGAGCAAAGCAACACTATGCTCAGAGTTTGCATGTCATGACTCTTTAAATATACAGTTTAGCCTGTATCATGAGAAATCTTGTGGTGTGCTGAATTGCATTGCAAATTTGCCTCTTCGTAGCCACTGAAAAGTTGCAGCAAACTTTTGGTTGCCCAGCCGCTTTCTGAGCATCTCAACATAACAAATTCTCTAGCCGTGACAACCAGCAGACTGATGATTATGGTGTTTCTCTCAGCGAGCAGATGATTTTCTGAGCACACAGGATACACGAGCGGTAAGGCTTTGTATTGAGGCTAGCTCAAGACGTGAGCAGTCCACACGCGTACACGCAATCTACGAGCTTAAGATATTGAAGATTTAGGGATTCGATGGTATGTCGAGATCACCCCACAGTCAAGGACCTCTGACGACGTCCATGGCTGATTAGGAAGAGCGATCACATTACTTTAGGAGGCCGGGAACGGAAAACCAGACATCGACAAGTCTGACTCTCAGCAAGCCGCTTTCGCGGAGCCGCCATTAAGTAAAAAATTCACATGACGGTGAAGATTTTACCCAAACTGATGTGAAGAGAGAAAGAAAGAAGCATTCAAAGGACGGGAGAGGATTGGCTTTTTATACCACCAACTTTTCTTGAGTGATCACGCTAACCCATACGTAGCCGAAGTAACGGTACGTACCACTGCTGTGCACTGCAGGGTTTTTTTGTCCGAGGGGTTACATAATATCTCAGAGGGTGGAGCTTCAAATGGACTCTTTTGGCGGGTCGAAAACCTTCTGTTTGGCTGTATCTTGGGCCTCAGAGTTCTCTATCAACTCTTGGGTTTAGTATCACCGATATACCCAGTAAACGCCCAAACAAATCTCGGCTTCTTACATGAGATTCTTTCTCAATGGTCAATCGGGAAGGCCAAGTAATCCACTGCATATCTACGGATGCCAAACTACGTAATGCCAATAATAATGCTGTTGAGCAGCAGGACTGAAACTCCTCCTATACAACCGACAGTATCTTGCTCGCAGGCACCTGCTGTGCGCAAGGAACCAAATTACCAAGTCTATAAACTCTTTAGATCCTGATAATTCTGAATATATAAATATCAGTCACTGAAATCGCAAGAGTACGATCGATGTTTGAGGTTGTACACAGACGTAAGCACCACGGAAACCCAGCTTCATCGACGCGCCTTCATAAACCAGTGCATGGCTATTCTTTGTCTAGGTAGTCAATAAACGAGCCTCACATTATGTAAAGCCAAAAAGTCATCGAGAGTCTTTAACTAGGCCAACTAACACGAAGACTATAAGTTGTGGAATAAATTCAATAATTGTGCAAACTTCTCATATGAGTCTACAGGGTAGTCCAAGACCTCCGATGTTATTCGAACACCCGAGGAACATTTCAAGGAACAACAGCTTACTTTCTTTGTCCCCGGCTGATAAAAAAAAATACATGGCATATCCATATCTGGGAGAATTTGGCTGCTTAGAGTAGCAAGATAGGATGTGTTGCAATGTCAAGGCACAGTGGGCGACCTCAGAACTCGCGTATCATGATAAAGATACATGCACCTATATTGATAGGCTTTCTTCAGTGACCAAGAAAGCTTTTGACTTTGAACTAAGATGCCGAAAAACACTAGATAGTCTAGAGCTCTCCCAAGTTATGCTAAACTTACCTAACATTTTGTCGTTTAGGGCAGAGGTCCCTTGTCCTATCCGTTCCATGTTCCGGTAAAGCTACAGGTTCAGCATAGCAACAGCTGGGACCGACCCATCGTCCTTCAGGTCGCCAATGATATGCCTGACACCATGTGCAAAAGCCGTAACAAACATGTTAAGAAGAGCAGTCGCAAAGAGAAGTTAGTAGACCATCTCAGACTCGTAGTGGATGGCCAGAACCGCCCCCTGAGAAGGATATCTTGGTAAAGGAGTTGGACCGATCTATGGAGGCTGGGTAAGTTGAGCATCTACACGACTTATGCATACAAATTGGAAGGATTAATAAAGGAACGCGGTGTAGTATGTAACCTCGATGACAATAATGTTGACTTTCAATCGCTATTCGCCGATGTTTCCCTTCGTCGCCAATCTCTATTAATGAAAGAAGTCCTTACTGTGTCTAGAAAATAGCGGCTCGACGAATGCAAAATAGACTTATATCTTAATGTTATGAACAAACTTAACCCCTGAGAGGTGAGTCGATCTAAAATCTGAATACCCATCGTATATTCCAAACTCCATCATGATAGCAACCCAATTCTGATGCTAATTTTTATTTTTGATTCCTTTTCCTTTTCCTTTTTTTTTTCTCACCCAACAGTAAACGCCTGCCATTGTTCGATCCTATATGTGCCCCAACCAGTCAGGGGAGATATGAGAACAAATGAAAACAAAAAGCAAAACAAAAAACTGTCATCTTAGGCGCGAGCCTTTCGAAAGATAAAATTTTAGATCATGGGTGATAGACAGAGTCGCCCCTCTGGAGTAGAGGACGCTGGTCCCAACTGTCCTCATTGAGGCTCTCATCATCGTACTCATCTTCCTCGGTGACGTTGTCGTTGATTCGTCGACGAGTAGGCGTAGTAGTGCTCTCTGGTTTGCTGTACATGAAGTACTGAGCAAATACACCCAAGTCGAGGAAGAGAGTAACGAGACTACCAGCGAGCCAACTCAGGTTGACGAGGATGTATTTGCCGTAAATATGACGGGCCTCGCCGGGGCGGCATTCATCGTGCTTGCACTTAGGTTCGTAGGCGAAGATAGACATGACGTAAGTGATGTTTCCGAGGCATGCAAAAAGGAAGAAGAGCATGCTGAGCCCATCGGTCGTCTTGCGCCTCCAGTTTAGGATGAGCTGAGGGAGACGAGAAGCGATGTATGCGATGGTGCAGAGATATCCAAAGATCTGACCCGAAAGACTGAAGTGAAGGCTATCCTCGCCTCCAGCATCGTTGTCGCCATGTTTGTCGCCAGTAGAAGCCTTCTGACCCAAGAACCAGCCAACAACACCAGCTGCGATGACCATCAAGACGATGATAGTGTTCCAAACCACAGTCTGAAGGACGGTAGGGGTTTGAGGAGTAGCATCTTCGGCGATATGAGGAACAGCCGGCGACAGGCCAGACCAATCTGAGCCACGGCGCTCATCGTGACGATCGTGAGCGATCAGACCAGTGCGCTCGTTGGGTTCACCAGGGGCCAGGGTGTTCGGCTTTGGAGCAGGGGTCGGGGCATCGCGCCATGTAAAACCACGATAGTAGAAGCACTGGCCAAGGAGGACGATATCAGCGATCGTGTAATAGATGGCGAGAATGATCTATAGAAGTAATCGATTTAGTTTTCGGTCCTCAAAACGGTTGATGAAAGCTGAGCGTGAAGCGTACCATGGTCGGTAGAACGCCCTGAAGGACGGCACCCAGAATGTTGAAAACATCGCCGAGGAGCCAGACAATGATGAATTGGATCGAGAGGGCATCGGCACTGCTTCGCTGGAAGTTTTGAATGATTTGGGGTGAGAAAACGACAACTATTTGCGATTAGTTATGCTCAAGGCTGAGACCAGTCATAGCGACATACCCCAGCAGGCAATGGAAATGGAACTTTGGAGAAATTAGTTTTCATGTCTTTAAAGAATGGCAAAATCAGAGACATACCCGCAAATGCCCGAGATCGCCTCGACGTCAAGGTTCAGATTCGCAGTTGGCGGCGTCATGATGAAGGTTGAACCCTGGGCGAAAGGTGGCAGAGTGCAGCGCCGACCCCAGCTCGTAGCGATACCGTCGTAAAGACCAAAATAAACCGAATCGTGATATTATCGCATTCGTTAAAATGAAGAAAAATCGATTCGTTGGGGGGTAATCGCTGATGGTGATAGTCTGGGCGTCGCGAGGCAAAAATTAAAGAGAGAGACAAAAGGGTCGTGGCATGAAGAATGAAGAATGAGATTGACAGACTTTTTTTGGTCAAAGATTGCGAAGCCAGGCATGGTCCCGTGCCCCCCCCCCAGAACAAGACGTCACTGTATCAGAGGCAAGATTAGGAAAGGATTGCGGGGGAAATGCGCTAGAATGCCCTGAGCTGAGCTTGGCTTATGCTAGGATACTTCCGGGGTCCGACCTCGGCACAGTGAAAAAGTTAAGCTGTAGATCAAGTTCGGATTCGTGAACAGCCAATGCCAGTTGAACTATGAAAACGCCATGGAAATATAGCCAATTGAAGTGGTTCTATATAGTCAGGGGCTGTTCTGAATGCAAGATCGTGGATCGCAGATACTGCTTCGTCTATCTGATAATGTACAAATGAGGTCATGATCACACTGATGAAACACCAAAAAATATGATACCCATGGACCCAATGAATCTCAATGAGTGAGATCCTCTCTCTGCAGGCCAATCATGAAGAACCCTGACTCATCAGAACTCCATCCCGCTGGGTACATGGCCGCATTCGCCGCAATATTGTTCAAATCGCCCGCGAGTTTCTCACCGCTAGCCCCAGAATGAACAGGAAGCAGAACGGAGACCTCGGACCCAAAGCCGATTAGTATTGCTCACTCATTGCCTTGCGTTGATCATATGAAGTCTCCTCTTTGTGCCTGATAACCAAATCTCAACATCAACACTAGAAAGGAGTTGTCTCATATTCTCATCATAAAGCCAACATAAGAAATCTAGGCTGTGAATCTAGCATCAAGTGTCTACTATTTTCTGACCCCACTATCTCCAACCTCATATCGTTAAGAGTATTACAAATACAAATCCAAGCATCTCTGAACCAACAACACTCAATGTCAACAACCACTTCAGGTCCAGGGCTGCCCGAGATTGCAGCTCTTCAAACCGACGACTCAATGTTGACTCACCGTTTTGGAAAAGAGGTTGTCAACTACTACGCTGGGGGTCGTATCAACAGATACTCTTTCCTGCGTGCCGACACTGACTTCCTTCGACGAGCCTATGATAGCCCTACAGCTAGATATCTGGCACTCCACGAGTTGGACCCTCTGGTTGTTGACAAGAAGACTCCGGCTTATCTGACTTTTAAGGATGTCGAGCCTTTGATCGGTTTGGACCATTTCACTCTCACTGAGGATGAAGCTATTCAGAGCTTCAACTCTACCGAGACCAGACCCCTCGTTGTTTACCTCGGCATGCTAGAAGAGGGTAACGAGAAGGATTCAATCCCATCTTCTGATCATGGAGACATTCAGGGCCACCCCTATTTCGCCATTGACATCACTCCCAAGGGAAACCACGCTGAGAAAGTTACTCAATTCTTGGAGGAACAGGAGAAGAAAGGACTGTCTTTGGATAAGAACCCTCGAGCAATGAATCAGTCACCCGAGGCTGGTAAGTTGTCCCTGAAGCTGGTTCGATCTTCAACTAACTTTTGCAGCCGCTCTTTATGCCCAAGCCAGGTCTATCATTGACTGGAACACACGAAGTCCCTTCTGCGCCGGCTGCGGGCTGCCCAACCTCTCAGTTCACGCTGGTTACAAGCGCGTCTGCCCTCCCGCCGATAAGAAAGGCGGAGCTTTCAGTGAACCTCGAGGTGACTGTCCCACCCGTCACGGAGTCTCAAACATCTGCTTCCCTAGAACGGATCCCACGATGATTGCCGCTGTTGTTTCCGCAGATGGAACGAAGATTCTTCTCGGCCGCCAGAAGCGCTGGCCTCCTCACTGGTACAGCACCCTTGCTGGTTTCCTTGAGCCTGGCGAGTCCATCGAGGAGTCGGTTCGGCGAGAGGTTTGGGAGGAGAGTGGTGTTCGTGTTGGGCGCGTTGTTATTCACTCGAGCCAGCCGTGGCCTTATCCTTCCAGCTTGATGATTGGAGCCATTGCTCAGGCTCTTCCTGGTGATGGCGAGAAGATCTCTCTGAACGACAAGGAGTTGGAGGTGGCCAAGTGGTTCTCCATTGATGAAGCCCGCAAGGCTCTTGAGAACGGAACGAGCAGCCTTGGAGAGCCTGCTCCCGAGGGGTACAAGGAGGGTGATTTGCGATTGCCTCCTCCTCAGGCTATTGCCAATCGGTTGATTACTGCTGTTGTTGAAGGATATTTGACTGTGGCCCCCAAGATGTGATGAAGTATTGATAGACTATCCATCCACCAGGTGTTAGAAAGATGAAGAATAGAAGCGTTGATTATGGTGACAGCTAATATTCAATTTAAATGGCAACTGACCATTTAATGAATTGTATTCCATGTGTTCACATTGTGGTCCAAGAAAGTAATTGCCGAGATCACTTGTTCAGTCCATTTCTGTGATTTGGTCTGGAGTGCTGCCACTGACTGGGAAAAGGTGGTAGTGTTCTGGCTCTGACACAGCGGCCACCTCCGTCTTCAAGTTGCTACCTTCACCTTTCTCCTTCTTGCACACACTCTTTCATACTTTCTTCCCCTCCTGCATATCACTTCACCACCAAAGAAGAAAAAGAAATCTCAGCACATCCTTGCTCACAACTTGCTTTCTATCTTATGAAGAGAAGTCTTTGGCGTCTTGAGATAGCTGACCATTTCATCATTCTTCCTGCGCGCCCACCATTCACCTTCTCTTGATGTGGCATCGCCTCGCCTTTTCATAACATCACTCCGTCCTTCATCACCTTCAACTATATCTCCCACCTCTCAATATTCTTGGTCGTCTTGGATCATTGTCAGAAATAGCTTCTGGCAAATTTCCGTTATATCTTCCTCAATCTGGCCCGCCCTTGACCATCTAGCCATGCCTGAAACCGCCCAGCAGCCCCTAAGCGCGCGGGCAGCGCAACGAATCAACGACCGAGTGACCCGTGAGGTCTTTCGACTCGCTGGCCGTGATCCCAACGATCACATGGAATGCTTTAAAGCTTGTCTTGAAACTATCGAGAATACCAAAGTCGTCGAGGCAACCGACTATGCTATTTGGGAGAGACAGGTAAGCAAATTCTATCTAGTCCTTGCAAGGAATAGCAGACTGATAATTCTTAGGAGCCTATAGCAATGGCTCTGCAAGAATTCTCAAATACCAACCGAACCACCAAGAGCGGCAACTTTTACATGCTCTCAGCAACCACCGCCATGCCTATCGCCGCCACTCTGAACCTGAAGCACGTTGCCATCGGCTCTGATGGTAACGCCAAACCCATCGTCAACGCTTTCTCCAAGAGTGCTGTGTGGGCTTACCTTGGTCTTGCCATCGATGTATGGTCTGAGACTAGCGAGTCTCAGTTCTTCGTCAAGAAGTCTGAAGGGGATTCAAAGCATCCAACAGTTGGAAAGATCACTCGTGGAAAGATCGCAGTCACAACCAATGTCTCCGGGGACACTGTCACTCCTCTGATGCTTCTCATCATGGCAAGATTGAACGGATGGGTCAAGTCAGCACCGGGTGCCCCTTGTTTGAAAAAGGGGACTGTCGACGCGCCGCAGATCATCCACCGCCGTCAAGCGCTAAGCGAGGGCAAGGAAATCCTTGAGAAACTAGGGAATCGAAAGTTCAAGCAAAACGATCCAGCTATCATCAGAGAGATAAAGGCATGGCTCTCGGAGCCCGTCATCCGTGTGCTTCCGGAGGAGGCGAAGAACCGACTATGGTACTAGTGCAACCAAGTCGCGAAATCCTGGTTGCCCGTCAGCGACGACGCAGATACGGATCTGTCGGTCTGGAAATACATGGGCAAGACCGGTGCCACTCTTGCCTCCCTGGTATCTGATGAAATTGACTGGATTCAACTGGCTCAACAGGTCAATGACGCAGAATCAACTGCAGCTGTGAAGAAGCTGGTTGAATTGCCAGACAAGGCCCGTGAGATCCAAAATTCTCAGCAGAACTATCTACAGGAAGCAATTCCCGATCTGATGGAACTCCGAACGACTCTCCTGGAGCAGCCCGGCTGCCAGTCGTTCCAGCGAGTTTTTGGACCTGCTTGGAACGAATGCCTCCTGAGCCAAGAAGCTGACGGTACAAAGAATATTTTTGTTGGTGCTCTTCAGCGCCTGTTCGACACGATTGCATATGCCGTTCCTCGAACACACCCCATGTACGGTGCTTTTCTTGACATGGCTTCCAAAATGGACATTGCTGTTATGTCGTCCCTCGACCTTGATCTGGTCAGAGTTAAAGATCGTCACCAAAAGAGGCTCAACATCAACGACGATCTATCCTACCGCAACGAAATCGTGGCAAATGTGGCCGAAGCTGTCGGCAAACTCGATCGTGGATCAGCATCGCAGGAGCGACTTCTCCGTTCAAAGGTCTGTTCGATTCTTGACGCAGCTGATGCGCTGATCCTGAAGGAGAACCTGCCGCGGGAGATCAACATCGTGATCTCGACCAACACCAATGACGAATAAGTTTGCTGTTTCTGTATGACATTCTCGGAGCCGAGTTTTAGTTCAGGATTTGTAAGTTTCAGCTTACTACATTTGACTGTCAATTTTGCAAAGGCACTAACTTAGGCGGCTTTAGGAGTAAATCTACGAAACGGCCGACATGGATACAAATGATATGAGAGACAATGTTGAAGGGAATAGTACATTCAGTGTAATGACAAAACGTCAATGTGTCGGAACAAGAAGATATAGTGAAGTACCTAGACATCTTGTTGATAGTGTCGAGGGGGAACAATCTTGACCAAGAGTTAATGGTGTCGTGCTTATTGCTTGGACCGTCTAGAACACAATTGAACTATGTTTTGGGAAACGAGTCTTGCCTTGTCTGCATGATTGAGGAGTAACTTTCTGTCACTGCTTTAACGTACAAGCCCCTTGCAGAAACAGAAAGGTTCTGTTGAATCACCTTGGCTCTCATATTTATCACTGTAATTGTGCTCAGATGTTTGAAGAGATTGCATGCGTATTTGTATATGTGCAGATAATGCTCAAGAACGCTAACCGCCTTGCTTTTCTCGCTGGTATAAAACTCAAAAATATTACATGATCATATATATGTACAATTCTTTCACTCATCCAGTAGTGTGGGTATCCATAATCATATCAACTCCATCCTTCGTACATACTTAGAAAAAGCTTCGGAGAACCTTCTTGGGAGCCTGAGACCAGTTGAAAGGCTCCTTAGGCTCCTCCTCCTCCAGCCAAACAGCGCCGCTGGCCAGATCCATCTCAGAGGGACGGACATACATCTGCCACTTGCGTGTGCCGATCTTGTAGCCGAGGTAGAGAAGGGCAACAGAGAAGAAGGCGAGGTAAGAGCTGAAGAAGGCCTCGGCGCTGGGAGAGGCGCCGGAGGCAGGGTAGAGAGCAGTGTAGAAAGAGGCGATGAGGGCGAGGATGTTGAGACCAAGACCGAGGTAAGATCCAGCAACGCCGAAGGGGGTCTTGTAGGGAATGAGGCCGAGGTTGATGCCCTGAGCCTTCATACCGGCACGCATGCGGATGTGGGCAAGGCAGATAGAGCCCCAGACGAAGAGGAAGCCAAGACCAGTGAGGGCCAGGAGCCAGCCGAAGATCTCCATGCCCTGAGGAGCAGCACCAATGTAGGCAAGGAGACCAAAGGCGATCTGGAGGATAACACAGTAGAGAGGGCGACCCTTGGAGTCGATGTACTTGAAGAAGTTGGGGGCCATGTTGCGCTCAGCCATAGCCTGGATAGTTCGGGTAGAGCCGAAAGTGCAAGAGTTGGCGACGGAGAGGACGGCAACAGTGATGACAGCGTTCATGATGCTAGGGAGGACCTTGATACCAGCATCCTGGATAGCAAGAACGAAGGGAGAGGCCTTAGTGTTGGCACCGCTGGCACCCATCAGGCGAGGGTCGTTGGCGGGGAGAATGAGACCGACGATGAACAGGTTGAGAATGTAGAAGATGGCAATTCGCCAGAAGACCTGCTTGCTAGCCATGGGGATAGACTTGCGGGGGTTGGCAGACTCGGCAGCAGCCAGACCGACCATCTCAGTACCACCGAATGAGAAAGCAGCGACGACGAAGACAGCGCAGAAACCCTTGAAGCTAGTGAAAGCACCAGGATCGCGCCAGTACTTGACACCGATGTAGCCCTGGTCGCCAACGCCACCGCAGTTGATGACAATACCGAGGATGATGAAACCAACACAGGCGCAGATCTTGATGATGGAGAGAACAAACTCAACCTCACCATAACCTCGAACACCGAAGACCTGAATGCCCATTAGGACAACAAGGAAGACAGAGACCCAGACAGCCATGTTGATATCTTCTCTCCAGAATCTGATGGTGATGGAAGCGGCGATAAGTTCGAAAGGCAGGACAGTCAACCAAGCGAGAGCGTATTGCCAACCCATGGCGAAACCCCATGAAGGATCGACGAAGCGGACGATGTATGTGAAGAAGGCACCGTTGACGGGGTAGAGGACAGCCATCTCAGCGAGGGCCAAGCATGTGCAGAGAAGCATGATACCGATGATGAGATAACCGATGAGGAGAGCAGCAGGGCCACCCTTCTGGAGGGCGCCACCTGAACCGACGAAGAGACCAGCACCGATAGCGCCACCTAGACATGTTAGTTATGAGTTGAGGAATAGATGAGAGGTGAAGTCATACCAATGGCAATCATCTGCATGTGTCGGTTCTTGAGATCTTGCTTGAGACCACCGTTCTTGACCTCGCCAGTCTCGACATCTCGTGTTTCAGAGACATCGAGAACGGCCTCCTTGCCGTAATCGGTGGGAGGAGTAGAAGCCATGGCTACTAGTTGTGGTGGTGGTGAGAGGAAAGAGAGAAGTGTATGAGAGAGTGAGAGTGGGAGAAAGAGGAGTGAGTGTTGAGAGTGATGCTCTTGGTTCTTCTATCCCCGGAATGGGGGAGAGGGCCTCAGTATTTGTACTCGTTTGATCGACGATGTTGCACAATATACCGAGACTATGGAACTGCTCTCCATACCGTTCTAGATTTTTGGTGGCGCTGGGGTCTGCCAGATGCGAGTTGGAGTTGGAGATGGCAAGGATGGGTCAAGGGGGGTAGTCTAACGTTAGTCTTAATGTTAGCGTGTTGGTTGAACTTGGAGGAAATGGTGTGCAGAACGGGCAGTCTAGCCTGTCTTGTTTTGCCCCAAAGAGTTTATCTTGAGGCTAATCATTAGACTCATGAAGCCATTGGCTCTTCAACTCCAAGCTACGGTATCATGGTGGGTACAGGATTTTCATGTCCACCTTGGACCTTGGAGCACGGCAGCCTAAGGTCACACTGCAGTAGTGGCCTGCCCCCCCCCTTATCTCGTTCCCGTCTTGGTTCTGCTTGTCTATCTCTCGGCGAGCGCGAGAGGGCTCCGTAGCCGAGAATCGTGTCGACTTTGACCGGGCCGGTCTGGGCTGTAATTATCATGGCTCGTCCTGGTAAAGACATGACAACGGTTGATACGGCGCTTAACTCGCCTGTCGTTTGATGTTAATCTAGATAGCGTATTTAATAAACGAGTCAGCATGGTCAGCAATCGATCAATTTGAGTTGTTTCTTACGTTTCCCTCCCTCAGGATAAGGTTATTCACCAATACTACCCAAAATGTGTCAGATCCTTGTCATGCTGCGATCCTTTGGAATTAACTCACATTGGGTTGTGTTGCATCGTATGTACTGTACCCTTGCCGACGCCCTATTACGAGTCAACCTCTCGGCAGTTTTACGTTGACTTTCACGGGCAGTTGATTACCAGTAAACGCGCTCCTAACGCGGAGTCAATGACCATTTCAACGCCACGTCCGTAACGCTTGTTCAGTGGCCCCGTAAGCACTTTCAGCTTCTTTCGGAAGGTCGACATCATGGCCAATGGCCCTTGTCCCTCTTCGGAAATCCCCTGGTGGTAGTAATCGACTGATGACTTATGTCGTATTACAAGACACATGCTGTCATTGTGAACCAAATGTTCGGGTCGGGTCCAGGACTGCCCAGACCTTGGGATCTGCAGACAAGACTTCGTTTGGGGTGCTGCAGAACTTGGCGATGCGATGCCAATAGATTGCCAAGCACCTTCGAGTCTTCAGCAGCAGACACCAAAGCAAAGCAAAACTTGGAGATGCCTTGGCTTGCTTTGGCTCTCCCCCACATGCTCCAGGGCACCCTCACGCGGCCACGTCTTGTTCCAAGAGGGTGGCAAAGCTCAAGCTAGTCCTCAAGCTAGAAGACTTCCAGACTACCCTCCCCCTACGGTTAGCATGTTCCTGATTGGTCGTGAATAGCCCCTAGCTTCGGTGGTATCAATGAATCTGGAACTGTACCCATGTCCCAACAGCCCTAGGACCAACTACAATTTGGAGACTCTTTCCCCTCTCCCGCTGGCTCTCAGCTGCTGACCGCCAGCCAGGAAAAAGCGCTATCTTTTAGCTGGCCATATCGAATTTTTCTCCCTCATATCATCGGTATCTCCTTGATTGGGCCGCTCATATCAATCGTGGCTTGAAATCTCCTCACGCCGGAATTTCCCCTCATGAAGAAAATGTCAATTCAAGACAAGCTAGCAATGAGGCTCAACTTGCTCAAGAGTCTCGTTACGTTATGTCTTCTTGGCTTTCTGGGGAAAATGGATACGATGCAATGGTCGCCACGAGGCCTCCCCAGATCCAGACACATAATCTGGGGATTCTCCAGACTCTTGAGTCTAGACACTCAACATTTTGATTCCATTACGAAATCGTTTCCGCAGCATCTTGATCCTGTTTCTGGGGTAGAGTCGAACGAGGTTTGAGGGTAATCTCAGTTCTCCCTGGTTCGTTCGGGGAGATCCATAGCACTAACGACTCCAATTATTAGCCTCTCAAACCTAACTTGTTCAAGAAGGTGTTGACACATAAGATGCGGAGAAAATGCTCAATGTTTCCACTGCGGAACCGTCAGCAGAATCTAGACCTCTCTCTCCCCACATCACGTTTGGCAGGGGTAAGCTTCAGTATCACAGGCTCTCCTCGTGTGGAAATTCCACGTGAAGCCATCACATAACATTTGCTGTGCTCAAATGACAATTGCTGCTTTCCATCATCGTCAAGGAACGGTTTGCCCGGTGGCGCTCCTAGTATCCATGCTAACCCCAGGAAACGAGTCGAACCACTAGCTGAGTTCTTATGCCGGCTCTGGCCACTTCAATGTCCACAATGGTATGATTGAGAAGTCGATATTGGTTGGTCTGTTCTGGCTATTTCGTAATGAATTACCTGAAGATTGTCATGGGAGTGAACTCCACGCCGTCCATTTTCGGTGTTGGCAGGCATTCAACATTCCCTCTCTCATACCGCGACAGCCACACAGCGTCCCCGTTAACAGCCTCCAATGCCTCCCGCACTACAACGTTCCGTTCCAAAACGTCCGAAAGTAAGTCAAGAATGTCGTCAAACATTTCTTCGTCAACTTGAACATGCGATACGAGAGCT